AGCCAGAGCCGCGGGCGTGGCCGCAGGCGGGGCAGCCAGAGCCGCGGGCAGGACTGGAGAGGCGGCCTCAGGCAGGGCCGCGGGCAGGACTGGAGAGGCGGCCTCAGGCAGGGCCGCGGGCAGGACGGGAGAGGCGGCCTCAGGCAGGGCCGCGGGCAGGACGGGAGAGGCGGCCTCAGGCAGGGCCGCGGGCGTGTGGCCAGCAGGAGGCGCCTCGGCGGGCACCTCAGGCAGAGCGGAGGCAGCTGCAAGCGTGCGACCAGCAGGGGCCGCCTGGGCAGGTGGCTCGGGCCTCGGGTCAACAGGGGGCGCCTCGGCGGGCGCCGCCAGCACACGACCAGTAGGGAGCGCCACAGCGGGCGCTGCCAGCACACGGCCAGCAGGGGGTGCAACCACAGCCACCTCAGGCAGAGCGGAGGCAGCTGCAGGCGTGCGACCAGCAGGGGGCGCCTCGGCGGGCGCCGCCAGCACGCGACCAGCAGGGGGCGCCTCGGCGGGCGCCGCCATCACACGGCCAGCAGGGGGCGCAACCGCGGCCACCTCAGGCAGTTCAGGCGCCGGCGAGACAGGCAGTTCAGGAGCCGGCAGGACAGGCGAGACAGGCAGGTCAAGTGCCGGCAGGATGGGCGCCGCCATCACGCGGCCAGCAGTGGGCGCCGCCATCACGTGGCCAGCAGGGGGCGCCGCAGCCAGAGTAGTGGCAGCTGCAGGGACGACAGGCGGGTCAAGCAGGACAGGTGGATCAGGCAGGACAGGCGGATCAGGCAGGACAGGCGGTGCTGCTGGCATCGCGGCATCATCAGCAGCAGGCGGTGCCGCGGGCAGAGCGGCGGCATCAGCAGCAGGCGGTGTTGCGGGCAGAGCGGCGGCATTAGCAGCAGGCAGCGCAGCCGCGGGCAGAGCGGCGGCGTCAGCAGGCAGCGGTGCCGCGGGCAGAGCGGCGGCGTCAGCAGCAGGCGGTGCCGCGGGCAGAGCGGCGGCGTCAGCAGCAGGCGGTGCCGCGGGCAGAGCGGCGGCGTTAGCAGCAGGCAGCGCAGCCGCGGGCAGATCGCCGGCGGCAGCAGGCAGCGCAGCCGCGGGCAGAACCGGAGCATGCAGGTCCGGAGCTAGCAGGAGGGATGCCGAGCGCGTAGGCGCCTTCCCTTTACGGGCTTTGGGCACCTGGGGAATGCCGTCTCTTACGGCGCGAATTCCGCCGTGCCCCAGACGCTCCGGCCGATAAAAGTATGCCTACAACGGAGGCGGCTGCTCTCCGCGGAAGCTGGCAAGGCGGGCAGCGGCGATGTCCTCCCAGGCAGGGACCAGCGAACAGGCGCCCAGGAAGAGGAGCGGTGTCTCCTCCAGCCGCTTCTTCGGGGCGCTCGTGGCGGTAAGCGGAGCCGCTTCGGGCACGTCACCCAGGCTCCAAGCAACGTGCTCCGCCCGTACCTCTGTGAGCTGGAGCTGTAGGCGGCGGAGGCATTTACGTGCCCTCTGGAGTGGGTACTGTTGCCCGGGCGGGCGTTCCTTTGCCAGGAGGTCCGCGCCCTTCTGGGCTAGCTGCCGGGCCACGGGGTCCTCCTGGACCTCGGGCTGGGATCGCCAGTACACAAAGTCTTGCAGCAGCCGGAGCCGGTGGTGCTCGGACTGCTGCTTTGTGCTTTCACGGAGATCGTGCATTCTGTCACGCTCGGAGACAGAGGCAAGCAGGGAAGCAGGAGCGCAAGCCAGGATGTCAGGTAAGCAGGGTTTAATGAGCAAAATACGGACCACACGTAACAATACACCACGGACGGACATCAACGGACAATACAATGCACGATCTGGGGAACAAGGGGAGACGTGGACTGATATACAGAGAACAAGGCAAAAGAAATAGGAAACAGCTGGGCACAATCGGGGAAGTACACGTGGATAATGAGGGGGCGTGGCACACACTAGGAGCGGACGGAGCGGATCGTGACATATATATATATATATATATATACACTCACCTAAAGGATTATTAGGAACACCATACTAATACGGTGTTTGACCCCATTTCGCCTTCAGAACTGCCTTAATTCTACGTGGCATTGATTCAACAAGGTGCTGAAAGCATTCTTTAGAAATGTTGGCCCATATTGATAGGATAGCATCTTGCAGTTGATGGAGATTTGTGGGATGCACATCCAGGGCACGAAGCTCCCGTTCCACCACATCCCAAAGATGCTCTATTGGGTTGAGATCTTGTGACTGTGGGGGCCATTTTAGTACAGTGAACTCATTGTCATGTTCAAGAAACCAATTTGAAATGATTCGAGCTTTGTGACATGGTGCATTATCCTGCTGGAAGTAGCCATCAGAGGATGGGTACATGGTGGTCATAAAGGGATGGACATGGTCAGAAACAATGCTCAGGTAGGCCGTGGCATTTAAACGATGCCCAATTGGCACTAAGGGGCCTAAAGTGTGCCAAGAAAACATCCCCCACACCATTACACCACCACCACCAGCCTGCACAGTGGTAACAAGGCATGATGGATCCATGTTCTCATTCTGTTTACGCCAAATTCTGACTCTACCATTTGAATGTCTCAACAGAAATCGAGACTCATCAGACCAGGCAACATTTTTCCAGTCTTCAACTGTCCAATTTTGGTGAGCTTGTGCAAATTGTAGCCTCTTTTTCCTATTTGTAGTGGAGATGAGTGGTACCCGGTGGGGTCTTCTGCTGTTGTAGCCCATCTGCCTCAAGGTTGTGCGTGTTGTGGCTTCACAAATGCTTTGCTGCATACCTCGGTTATAACGAGTGGTTATTTCAGTCAAAGTTGCTCTTCTATCAGCTTGAATCAGTCGGCCCATTCTCCTCTGACCTCTAGCATCAACAAGGCATTTTCGCCCACAGGACTGCCGCATACTGGATGTTTTTCCCTTTACACACCATTCTTTGTAAACCCTAGAAATGGTTGTGTGTGAAAATCCCAGTAACTGAGCAGATTGTGAAATACTCAGACCGGCCCGTCTGCCACGCTCAAAATTGCCTAAATCACCTTTCTTTCCCATTCTGACATTCAGTTTGGAGTTTAGGAGATTGTCTTGACCAGGACCACACCCCTAAATGCATTGAAGCAACTGCCATGTGATTGGTTGATTAGATAATTGCATTAATGAGAAATTGAACAGGTGTTCCTAATAATCCTTTAGGTGAGTGTATATACACACACAGTCGAACCCACTTATCTCGTCCTCGGTTAACTCGCCAACCCTATTAAGTCGACGTTTTTGAAGTGGAACCGCCAAATTCCCTCTTTGTCTTAGCATTTTCTCATCGGTTATGTCGATTCTTTTATGTCGCCGAACCCTAATATCTCGAGCACAATAGAGGGACAAAATCGGCACTTAACATCGGTTATCTCGATCCCCGTGACGATTCGCCGGCTTTTAAAAATGTATCACAAGTGGGTCCGTGTATCTTCCGTTAATTGGATTTTCGACTCGGAAACCAAAATCAGAAAAGGGATTTCAAGACACTATTTGGGTTTCAGATTCTAAAATAAAAATCATCAGATTTCGAGACCTTATTTTGAAAACTGTTTTACTACCCACTCACAGTAAATGATTATCGAGGCATTTTGTGGGGAAGGAAATGATTGATCCTGTCTGAAAAAAAGAAAAGTAAACAAATGAATATGTGACGTAACATAAACAACACAAGACATATACATACCTTATTTATTTCCAAACAGGTGTCAGACACAAGACCTCTCTGTCTCAAGTTGTGCTCCGCGCAGAATCTCTGGACACTCATTTCAGAGGACCCCCTCTGTATGCCTAATTGATACAGCGTAGCTGAAATATCTGCATATGTGTGGGGTTTTTTTAGCATCTCCTTAATTATCTCGCCATAGGGCTCCAGAGACAAATTCATACAAAATGTATATGAATAAAAAGCAACAGTATTAATTGCTTAACTGAACAATAAGCAACCTGACACACTCTTGCTTTATCTATATTTGTAATTTTTAACTTAAACATTATACTAACACATACATTCACACACTGTGCCATGTGTCCTGTGAATGAACATTACTGTTTTCCTAGACTGGATCATCCTTTGGATGAAAATTGATGACAGGCTATCTGTCTGTAAAGGGGATTAAAGCTTCTGAGGGTAGAGTGGGAAAAGTGCTGAGAAGTATTCATCAGCCCTATCACAATGCAAGACAGCAGGTAAGTACATTATATTGCATTATTTTTTCTTTTTTTAAAAAAGACATGTATTGACAATTTAATCGTTTTAATGGCGCATTCAGTCATATTTTTATATCATAGGGTGCCCGGAATTTAAACCCTATACCCTACAAGGCCGAATACATGGGCCACAAGATCCATCTAGATCAAAATGAGAAGCTTGTTATGTTTGGGGTGACGCATGTTATGGCTGTCGATGGATTCAGCAAGAAGGTTGTCGGTCACACAACAATGCCTGTAAAGAACAACATTGTCATTTATGAGGATGTGTACAGGTAAAATTACATTTTTAAAATGGAACCAAAAATCGGTCAGTAGGACTGACAAAAATATTTTCTAGGATCTAGGATTTCTAAAAATACTGTATTTTTTTTCCTCAGGCCTGCTGTGCTTTCCCATGGACTATGGGACCAGGTCAGAGTTGACTGTGGGACAGAATTTTATCTGACATTGTTCATCCAGGAAAAGCTGGCAGGACACAGACACAATCGTCAAAGGCAGCCTTACGTTCAGACGCCATCTACAAGGGTAAGATTAATGCATGGTTAAAACTGAATTCTTTTTTTGTAATGATGGCCTATTTCTAATGATGTTTCATGTTCCTAAAACACACAGAACCATGTCATAGAGAGAATGTGGCTGGAGGTGAATACAAGAGTCAACTACCCTTTGAAGACAGCTTTGGTACAGCTGGTAGATCAGGAAGAGCTGAACATGGAGGACAGCATACTGTATCTATGTATACTGTGTGTCAAACTTAACATGCCAAATGGCCAAGATTGGCATGACAAACGTTGTAGAGGCATGGAATGCGCACAGGATCCCAGGTATGACTTCACTGATTGTTATAAGCTTGACATGTTAAGCAGATAAAACAGACTGACATTCTACATCAGATTTAATCTTATCTACATCCACTCTTAATCCATATCCAGTACTAAAATCTACACTGGGTGGACAGATTCTTTTTGTAACATATTTGGTTTCAGTGTGCATATGGAAGCTAATACACACAGCATTTTGTTCATTGCTTGCTTTTAAATTCAGTGACTTGAAAGACAACTAAAGCAAATTAACTTAAGTCTTGACCTGTCATTATCTAGATATAATCTTGGAAATCTCTACTGATTTTGCCATTTTCAGGAAAAGGAATTCCTAATGAATTGGCTAAGGATGGGTGTGCAGCAAAAGTTGCTGAAGACATTGTGCCTCTTGGTGATGTTGCAGCTGACCTGTATACGCAAGAACTGGGATCAACCTTGAGAAGGGAATCAATTTTTGGAGTGGATCCGTTCCCCTCCGAGGAAGCACGACAGCAGACTGAAAGTGCATTTGGTTCTCACTTTGATTTGGTATCATTATACCAAAATGTAGTTCACCAGTACTATGACCCTTTTAAAAATGCAGTTAAATATCTTATTGATTTAACCAGAAGATCTGTGTGACTTGTTACAATGACCTGCAATGTAATGAAGTAAGAGTATACATAGAAAAAGAATTTTATTAAACATAACTGCAAAAGTTGTGTGTTTTGAACAATTTGAGTGCATTACATCTCTCCATAATAAAGTAGCTGCTTTTAAAATATTGTAAGCACCAAATTACCAACTATTTCAGCTTTTCCAAAACGCTAACAAGCTTGACTTTTTAAAGGGAAAATGCATTTAACAGCTACTGCCCCAAATATTTAAACAGGTTGGATTTCAAACAGGGCAATGACCAATTGAACAAACTTCACAAATAATTTACCCAAAGAAAGCTTGAATGTTGCAAACCACGGTGGCTAAACTTTTTTGGAAAACTGCAGAGAATGTAAATTCCCCTGTTAAGTCATTTTCACTTTGTTTTACACTTATTCTGCTGTTTGTATATCCTTGAGGATAGACAAGATAGCAGAGAAATCTTTAAGCTGATGCGTTTTGGAGTGAAAATCTTCCGCTCTGCATTTCAGACAGTGTGCTGCATTTTTCAGCCACTCTTCCACACAGATTTGGCATCCAACAAGAGACTGGCAGCATGTGGAGAACATAGGCTCTCCCATTAAACCTGGAGGATTTCAGTGAAAAAATATTTTTTTAATAGGTTGTACTGTAACGGTACATACTGAAAAAAAATTTACACATACCTTTACAAACAACACAGGTAAAGGCCTCCTTTATAAGGGGCAGGCAGGTAGCTGGCATTGCTTCAGAGCTTTTGCTCTTTGCCAGCTCAGAAAGCTGGTTTATTGCTGAAGAAATATGTTGCAGGCTGTCAGCAGCTTTCTTTAGTTGTTCAATGTTGCCAGTTATTTCTTGTATGGTTGTACCATCTTCTGCTCTGCGACTTAAATGAAAGAACAGAAGATGGATTCTTACAACTTATAAGCTAAATGAAAGCTAAAATGAACATTTTATACATCTCTTTTGTAAAAGTATAAGTGCGAGTGCTTAGCTTTTATGCAAATACCACATTAATAAAAACTATAAACATGTCGCAAATTGAAATTAATTTCTTAGCTTTACCACTTACCACAGTTCAGTACGTTAATTTCAACCAAAACAATAAGTCAAAGTAACCTTTAAAAATCAAATTCAAATAGTTTCATTCAAAGTTTACCTTGCTTTTGTCCTCCTCCCATTCTGGAACTCCACAAACTCATCTTCAGGTATGGCATAGATTTTTCTGGAATTCTGTTTCCAGTAATGGGAACCTTTAGAATGACAAAATAATACTTTAAGGACTATACTTAAGACCCATATCATCCAGATCTGCAGAATGCACAAATGAGACGTAAGGTCTTGGTCATATAACTTACTTCTTGTCCCCTCAGAGTCTACTATTTCATTTCCTTGACTGTCTGTAAGGATATGAGTGTCACTGCTGCTTAAGGCATCCATCACCTTTGCAGTTATCCCATCATCTGTAGCATCAGCTTCCATAAAGCGAATAACCACAGTTCTTGCAGTACTGAGCTTCCCATTCACAATATCAGCAATGTGAACTGACCTGGGAATACAAGCAGTATGTTTAGCTTATTACATAAAAATTATATAAACTATGAGATTTTAGTAGTTGCATAATTAACAAATACCTTTGGAACATTCTTGATGGGAACAGGTTGCCAGTTCTTGGAGTTGCAGGTGAAGCTCGTGTATCCGTAGTATATGTAGAAGGTGAGGGCTTGGATCGGCGTAAGAACGCAAAAGGAACACCAGCAGTTGGGCAGGTGCTGTTTGCGACGTCTTGGCTTTGGTCTGAATCTCCGTGAACCTCGTAATGACCACGATGTATCAAATCAAACGTATGGAAATGGCCAGTGTTGTCGGGAAATACTGCAGTGTTTGAGTCATCTGTAATGTATAGACTGCCTCTGTTTACCTGTTCAATTGGACAGTTATACATTTTAGTAAAATAAAACAAACCTTTCACCAAGTCAATGTTTTATTAAAATATAAACAAATGTATCGTAATTTAATTATTAAAACACTTATATATAGATGTTAGCTGTAACAAATAGCATTATCAGTATTACTTATCGTACAACATCTAGCTAAGTAAGAAGCATTGATAATGCGACAAAAACTCAACGTTTTTTTAACAATGACAGTACCTGAAAAATCCTGCATATTTTGTCCACAGACATGTCCTCGTCTTTTAACGTAACACGTTTGGCACCTCGAAATAAAATAAACGTGTCCATTGTCGTTCTGGTCCCAAGATTCTTGTTCTCTTATCTAATGCGCTTTGCGCCAATTTTTCTGTGAACTTCCGGGTCACAACAAAACTGTCAGTACAAAAATTGAAGAACCGATTTCCACGCAGATATTTGTGTTCCTGATTTTCGTATATAATCACACAAAAAAAATCGGATAGCGGGCATTTTTTTCGATTTCCGATCTTATATTTGATACAAAAAACGGGTCGTTTTTCGTTTTTGAATTTTCCAATTTAAGACGAAAATCCATTGGCCGTCACGTACACGGACCCCCCTAGGCCGGCGACATAACCGGGTTCGACTGTGTATATATATATATATAATATTGCTGTCTCTGGACATATCCACAGCCGCTTACTGATATTAAATCCACGTTCTGCAGCAAACTCTCGGAGATCTTGTTTCTTAAATCTGGTCATTACATTTGGTGTCAGAAGCAGGGATTTTTTTTTCTTTTTTTTTTTCGAACTCATTCTTCGCAACTTTCTGGCAAAGTAGTTTACCGAGGGTCCGAGGATGTTTGGACGTCAGGGGATCAAACTAGATTGCGATGCGCAGAATGACTTTAACTCTATGGAGGGCACCAGGGGCCCCTTGCATGGGGGGGCATTTCTTCCCTCTTTGGAATAATTACCTTATAACTTCAGATATAAAAGTCACAGACACATGCCTGATACCTAAAATCAAAGTTGACCCCTTTACAATTGATTGTAGGAAGTTCAATAACGAAATGAATAACCTGTGTATAATTTATGGACATGCGAATATAACAAAAACAGCTGGAAAAATACAAAATCTGTCTTTGTGTCTTGGATTTTTGTAAATATTTCAAAAACTACATGATGGAATAGGTCCAATTTTAAAAATCTGATTCCCAAACTTGTTTTCTACATGTGTGCCCAATTTCATATCATTTG